ATCCGTCACTACAGGCAGTGCTGTCCCTCTCGTTGTCCAAAGAGAGTCGTAATCCTATGGTTGGTCTCCATATGAATCGGTGACACGAGTGTCGGGTCTTCGGCGGATCGCAGGCTTACGGCTCTCGTCGGACAACGACTGCCCCCTCTCTGGGCGTCCGATGTTATGGCGAATACAGACGTGAAGATGTGGTTGTGATGTGGACTCAACTCAAGGACTGCCAAAAGGTAGCCAATTGACAAACTGTGACCAAACTGTCTCCTCTTCTATTGTCTGTGGTCTGGAGTACTGAGCCTTCAGTAACGGGTCGATGAGTATCACATCCAAAGACGGGCGGAGAGTGTAATCCATTTCCAAGAGTTGATTCAACACTCGCTTCACGTCAACGGCGTAATCCCTTCTGTGAGCCAACAGGCGATCGCATATCAAACCTGTGGCCCAAACATCACAACAACGGATGTCGTCAACAGTCAGTGCTTTCACCGCTTCGGGCGAAAGACAGCTTAGAGTCGCGTATTCGGCGGTCAAAGGTATGGGTCGTCCCGTCTGCTCGTCAACCGCTCTCTTCATGGTCTCGAAATCACTGATTTTGGCGACAATTCCTCCGCTTGTCTCACAGCTGACGAGCAGAACGTTTCCCGGCTTGAGATCCAAGTGAGCGAACCCTTGGCTGTGAATGTATTGCACGCCTCGGACTACGTCTTGAAAAAATGTGAGAACGGAATCAGTAGTGAGTCGGCGGACACATGGGATCTCTGCGAAGGGCTGAAGACTGCATTTGGCCGCTTCCATCACTATCACCGGATGGGAACCGCTCTGCAAGTGTTGGAGGGGATGCGCGGACAACACATTCATGTGTTTCAATGCCATCATTGAGTTGAGCTCTTGATTGACAAATGGGATGGGATTAAGAGAGAACTTAACGGCCAGTCGTTTGCCATTTTGTAGAGCACTCACTACGAGTCCATTACCACCGGTTCCCAAATGGGACCCCAATTGGACGCCGTTATCAAAGAGTAGTGGCAAAGAGTTTTTGATGATAGTGTTGTACTCACTTTGATAGTCATTAGTTGTCTTCAACTGTTCCAACAGATGGTCGATGTTATAGTGGATCGAAAGCCAATTTTCAGCCAATGTTTTCAAGTCTTTGACGACTTCTGGGGTCAGTTGTCTCGCAGACGAGGCGACGGCTAAACAGTTGGTAACCAATGGACTGTACGTCGGTTTGGCAGATAAGACATCGGAGACCAACTGATCCACAAGTGGTGGACTCGTTTCCAACGGTTTGTCAGACAAGACATGCGATTCCTTCGGCTCCACAACTGTTGGACTCGTTTCGGGCGAAAAGGGATTCAAGACATCGTCTCTTCTCTCCTCCGACTCTCTCTGTCTGTCTTTCCTTCTCTCCCTCTGAATGAAAGCCAGAATCTCTTCGTCCGTCAAATCATTTCTTTCAAATCTGAATCGCTTTCTAATACCCTTAAAGAGATGTCTGATTCCACGACAAGACTTGTATCCCATGTTTAACAAGACATTCCTCTCCGCGACTGCAGTCAAGTCTTGCGGTCTTTCCTTTGGTTTTGTCTTAATTATGTTAAAAAACGAAACCTTTGGACGCATTCGTTGTCTTTGGTTAGTGTTGGGGGCGATAGGAGTGGGGGAGGGGTTGAGAGAAGGGTTGGCAGGGGTTGTGTTGCCCTCGAGTACCACCGACTGGTGATCCGGTGCTGACACCGATTGGGTTCCGGTATTGTTGTCGCTGTTTGTGATGTCTATCTCCCGGTTCCTCGAGATAACAGTTGATATTCTGGTGAAGAATGGCATTACGAACGGATGTGTTGAGTGATTTCCAAGTGATAGAAGCGTTGAAGTGATTGTTTTCAAGAAGAACTTGAAACGGACGGCGGAATTGCTTTTCTTCAGGAAAGCCTCTTAACCCATAAAAACTTTTTTCAAAATTTCCGAAACCATTGTTAAAATTTTTGAAAAATTAATGCAATTGTTTGAAAACAGTTAGTATGGGATAAAAGTGTCATAAAATTTATTTATAATTAAACATGTATTTATGCGAATTTTCATTGTTGGCCATTAAACTAGGTAATAACGTTTTTATTAATCAATATTTAATGAAAACAACAATTTGCCTTTTCTTATTATAAAAGTTTTATATCAATAATTCATATCTTCGGGATATATTATACAAACGATTAATTGCTTTTTTACAGTTACATGTAGTTAAAACTCATTGTGATTATTACCATTGGTAAGATTTTTAAACCAAGTTTACTTTGAACACTGGCATCAAAAATATGATGTGTTAATTGGGACGCGTGTGTGGCCTGAGTTTGATCTGAACCCTTTTGAGCGAATAACTGGGTCCCTGCCATTCGGACCAATACACACCCTTGTATTCCTGCGGCGACAGTCCCACCAAATACTGGCCATTAAGATTGGCGGACTCGCACTGGTTGTACCACCATCCCCCAGTGTGCTCCACCGCACAACTGTCCCCTTCCCACCGGTCGTTGTCGTTGTCTTTGGTCGAGAAGTGCATTGAGATGTGATAAGTCATTGAGTCGCCCGCATCCCCCTAATAGTGGGAGTAGATATTAATTGTCATAGTTTATATCTTAAACATTATATATCACACCTCATAAGCGCCCAATAGTTTAATCATATAATTCTCGCTCTCAGAGCCAATAGCGAAGGCGTCGTATTTGGCGAAAGCCTTGTCTTCTTCAAAGTCCTCCAAATCGATACGAAGTTCGTATATATCCTGATAAGTGATGCGATGGATGTGATCCAAACCCAACCAGAATTCATTGGCTATATTCCCGAATCCATACTTGTATTCATACCAATCGCGATAAAAATCGACGGATCCGTCATTTCTGCTCTGAATGAGAGTCCATCCGCCGCCGTCTGTCGTCATATCGCAGAACACGAATATGGGTTCGTCGGCGCCGAGCGGTCGGATCCGATACACACCACTCATATTCTTCACGCTTTGATTGTTTTGAATGTCTTTGCAATCCTTCGCGAATTCGTTGCTTCCGTTTGCTTCCAGAGCTGACGTCCGGATAAAAACGTTAGGTTTTTCCAATTTCTTCATCTCTTCGATTACATTACGAATCGCTTTATTAAATGATTTGCTTTCGACATAAGTTTTCGATGTGTTCGCTATAACATTGGTTTCATTCATTAGTCCGGAGACATTGCCGGACAGGTCTGTAATCTGTTCCTCAATTTGATTGGTGGATCTCTTAAGGCTATAGAGAGTGGTCTGAACCAACTGGAGGTTTGCCTCGATGTCGGCGTTCACTATATTTAAAGATTGTTTCGGATTTGTGTCATCAGAATTGACATTTCTTTTGCCGATTGTCTTCAACTGTTCTGAAATCCATATTTTATTGAGGATGTGTTGCTGTTCCAGTTTATTCAGATCTTCGCGTATCACTTCTTGCAGAGTAATAGTCTTTCCTAAGTCTCCTTTAATGTCGTCAAGTCTGTGAGATATGCGAACCTCTGAGCGATCGATGGAAGAGATGATGTCATGCTTTTGACTCTCGAGTCGATCTAAAGCACGGCTGATATCGTTTAAAACACTGATCTGTATCTGAGAATTATTCTCCAGAATTGTGATTCTTTGAGTGATTTTTTGCGTAAACTCTTTGACAAGTATTGTCTCATAATTTGCATTCGAGTCAACATTTGCTTCACTTTGAATTTGAGATACATTTGAAGCGCTGATAGAATTAAATGAATTACAAATAATAACATACAAAGCAAGAGAACTTAAATAGAGACACATTTTGAGTATCACTTGGATTGTGGGAAGTTTCCAATATAAAGTTGAAAAGACAAAAACATTTCGGTATGGAATCGATGTTTAAAAATAGATGTTTCTCTTATTTTAGGTTTAAGTGCTTTTACGAAACAAAACTTTCAAATTGAGATCATAGTGTCAGATACGATGTCTGTCTACTAATTGAAAGATTGCCCAAAATTTTTCGATACATTTTTTCAAACAATTTCAGTTGTCATTCAGTAATTCACTCAATTCGTTCAATAGCTCTCTCTCTCTCTCTCTCTCTCCAAGTGCTTTGCAGACAATTGTGGTAATAAAACTATTCATAGCCCTTACCATAAGAACTATAAAGATATGAGAGATAAACAGCTCAAGGATAAGATTCCAGTAAAGTTTTAAACACAATATGATTTTATAATAAAATTTTATTACAAAAATATTTCAAAACAAAAAATAATTTAATATTTAAAAAATAATAGTTATTCTCCATAAATGTTAACTCTTTATAGAGACACAAAACTACAACTTTTTTGTCAATACTTTTCGTTATTAATTTCCAATTGCAGCGAATATATCAGTATATATTTTTAATTAATAAAACAGTTCTTACGTTATATACTATTTAATTAGTGTTAGAAATGGCTTAACATTCAGACTCTTTCTCGTGTATTGTCCGTAAAGAACCGGTTTTTGTAATTAATGACAGAATAAAAAATTTAAATTATAAAATAATAATCAAAAGCTGTTTATAATAAACTTCTATAACAGAAAGAAACGTCTGAAGAGCAAGAATGCGAGCGCCAGTACTATGAATGCGATTAAATAATTGGTCAAACGAGAGCCAGAGTCCAGATTGATGTTAGTTCTGAGAGTGACGTTTGCCGTAACATTTGCGGTCATAATAGGGTTGGAATGCGTTACAGAAACACTTCTGTGGATCAGTTGTGGATCCGTATCGGAAGTGTTGTTTTGCTCAACCGTTTGGTCAACTGTTTGTTCAGTCGTCTGGACAGTGGCTTCATTGGGTTCAGTGCTTGTCGTCGTTGCCTCAGAAACGGTTGGGATTGGGGTTGACTTGTCTTCGGTCGACTCGGAATTAGTTTCCTTTTGATTAATAAATAGTTAATTACAAAAAAAATGGATCAAAAATCTAATCAATACCTTAAAACGAATTTGTTTCGCGAGTTCTTTAGCCTCTTTATTGGCTTCGCTTTCCTTGTGGTTCGAGTCTTCAGTTTTCAATAATTTGGTGATTTGTCCACAAGAAGGACAGCACCAGTTCTGTGACTTCACTGCCAACGTCTTCCTCTCTTCTGACGGATAATCTGAAAATGGATTGCAATTCAATTCAAAGCATTAAAAAAGAGTCCATAAATGAAAATAAAGCATAATATAAGAGGCAAACCAAGCGATCCGATGGCACCCAAGCCTTCGGTGGGCATAAAGCCAATAATGGCGAGAAGTGCGGTGCGTATGGACCACGAGGGCTGCCACGACTCCGGGTGATGGCCTGATATACTCAGACATATCTTTTTGTTCACTTCGAAGCGTCCGTTCGGTGTAAGCATTATAATAGACGGCGGTTTCATCGGGTATTCTGTCGGCAATATTATGCGGCCGTGATATACACCCGACGCGAAGTCAGAGTCGGGCGGACCTCTCACTGTGAAGTGCCATTCAAACAGATTGTCCTACAAATCAATACAACAACACAATCACAATCATTGCCACTCATTTGCACACAACTCGTAGACAACACAATAGATTCAATCATGTCTTTCACACTTACATCTAATGGTTGTGCGAAATACTCAGCGGTTCTGTCGTTGAAGAGCTCTTTGGCCTCTTTGTACAGACGTTTAACAGCTGTTCCGCACAAGCGTTCAAATCGATAGCGAATATATAAGAAGTGAATCAATTTGAGTGACAATTCAAACACACAATGAGAGAGAGATTGAGACAAACCTGGAGACCGAGGATTGTATTGACTGTCCATTGAAACGACGCGTTTGTATTGATTGGACACAAATAGCGATTCCAATGATATCGCGATTCAATGTCTTCGCCACCACTTCTTCGTCGCCGAAACAAATGAGCGTTGAATTGGATTTCGTGTCCAAACAATAACTGCCAAAGAGTTTGCGGTTTTGAGCGCAAAATCGGTGCCAAACAATGTATTGAGCGTTGAATTGAAACGTGAATTAAGTATTGATTTAATTATTAAACACTATTTGCGACGAAATGTAAGGAAACGTCACTTCAAATGAACACAACATTTAGTGCACGAAATATATGCCAAACAATACTTGTATTGCATTTCGTTATGAGATGTCATCACTTGTGGTAAACAACTATTAATTGCCATTCAATTCAGTCAATGATTTTGGGAAAACATTTTTCACACTATTTTTCGTAATTTATTATAGTTTTCACGTTTGGTTTTTTTCAGTACTGTTTCCCAGTATTTGTTAATAGCATTTGTCTGCAAATATTTCTGATAGACTGTACGAAAGGCGGGCCAATGCTTACAACTCGACAGCCAATGAAACGCGCGATACGTTTGCGAGAGAATTGTTTGTTGACTGAATGCATAGGAATCGTGTGTTGAATGTTCACAGGAATTATGGATGAGTTGTATATATAGTGAATGTTTGTTGAAATGGCGGACAGAGTTTAAAGTGTTTGAAGTGTTGTTCAAAACATTTGAATTGGATTTGCATTTGAAATCAATTTGAAAACATTTCGCCAAACCATTGATTGTCTCGTTTGTCGGCAATGAACGACACGTCGAGTCCATCGAAACGATTGGGACATCCGATGAGAGCCCGGAAGCGGAACCGATTGATCTATAATGAGGACGAAGAGACTCAGTTCACGGGCCGATCGGCGCCGCCGTTCGCCGCCGCCGGACATAACCGCAAGAGTCAACGCATACCCAGCGGTGGGTCCGCCGGCTATCTGTCGCCGCACTCGTCGGGCGTCCGAGCGGTCGGAACGCTGGACAAGAAGGTGGCGCAGAGGGTTGGCCTCCGGTTGCGGACACTCTTGAAACTGCCGAAGGCTCACAAATGGGTGTGTTTTGAGTGGTTTTACGCAAACATCGATCAGCCGTTGTTTTTGGGACAAAACGATTTCGGCATTTGTCTCAAGGAGTCGTTCCCACACCTGAAGACCCGGTCTCTGGCGCGCGTCCAGTGGTGTAAGATTCGCCGCCTAATGGGTAAACCGCGGCGCTGTTCGGCCGCCTTCTTCGCCGAAGAGAGGGCTTCACTGAACGCCAAACGCAACAAAATCCGTCATTTGCAGCAACAAAAGGTCGTCGACTTCAGCCAATACAAGGATTTGCCAGAAAATATTCCCCTTTCGCTCGTCATCGGCACCAAAGTTACCGGTCTTTTGCGTAAACCACAGGACGGACTCTTCACCGGCGCCATCGATGCGGTGGACGCGACGCTCGGCACGTATCGGCTGACGTTCGACCGCAACGGCATCGGAACCCATTCGCTGCCCGATTACGAAGTGCTCAGTAACGACACCCCGGAGTTCATACCATTGAACTCCTTTCAGACCAAAGTCCGGCCGAGACTTCCGATGTTCACTTCGCCCCGATTTCTGGAACTGTTGGGCAATCAAGTGGCGCAGGCGTTGGGCGACAACGACCCCCTCCTCGCCGGACCCTCACCTCCCAAACGAGAGGGAGGCGTCTCCGGCGGAGGACATATCCACGAAGAGGGAACTTTAGGCGGATTTCCCATTAAGTTTTTGGCACTTTTGGTCCGTTTATCGAAAATACTTCAGTGCAAGAAGAAGAAGATCACTGAACTGAAGGCCATGAATACGGAGGCGGAGAAGTGCCGCAGTCTTCAAGAGCCCATTTCGCACGACTTTCAGAAACATTACGCGCAGACAATCCTCGACTTAGAGAAACTGAACGCCGATCTAAACGACTACTTGAAAGCCGTCCAACAGTACAGCGCGGAGATCGCGCCCGAACAGGGGTTGGCGCCCATCGCTCAGCCCGATGTCGTCAAACAGAAATATTTGGTCGAATCCAAGGAATTGGTGGAACGAAATTTGGTCAACTGTTCGGTGAAGTCCGAGCCCACCATTGACTTGATATCGCATCTGTTGTCACTTATGCTACACCTGAGAGGGTTCGCCGACTCCGAGGTCTCGGCGTACGAACTGAAGTCACTGTCCGACACATTGACGGACATCAGGAAAATGTTGGACACCTCTAACGTGGATCAGTACGAGAACGAAGTGGAGATACACGTGAACCACATTCAGACGAGTTTATCACATTTGGGTAATTTGGGCGCTTTCTCCGAGTCTATGCTCGAGCCCTTATGATAACCCAAAGTATACTAACTTTTCCATCAATTATATCACATTACTATTCGCCACACAAAACGTATAGACTTTAAGATTTAGTTTCCAATGTTTCTAAACTATTATTTTTTGTTTGTTTTTTACATGAATTGCAATATAAATATGCTTTGGATTTATATATGATTTTAATGAAACAATTTGTATTATAATATAATCGACAGTTGTATTGAGTTTCTAACATTTTATTTGCGATACATTTATATTTTTCAGTAATTAATAATTATATGTAAGTAATTATACAAATATATTGTATATTTGGTTTAATTAATTGAAGCGTTTAATACAAAAATGATATGATTTTTGTATTTAACAAACAAATGTGTCGACTCTATATCACATTCAGTCGACCGACTTTTAGTTGTAAAACTAATTCAAAATTAATTTTTTGTAAATTGAAAAATTGTTTAATAGTTATAGTTTCTAATTAAGACATATTTGGACACAAATTTATTATAAATAAAATAAAATACTGCATTGAATATAAAGTATTAAGTGTGTATTTTTTTGAAATATAAATAACTAGTTTTATAACTACCGTATTCTTCCGCTTTTAAGCCCATGGGCTGTTATGTGAGGGGTCTTTGACTAGGGTAGACTTCAAAATAGCATGGGCTGTTACCCGGGTAGTAGCCCACCCCCTCTAAGAAATTGACTTATTA